GGCAGCAAGCTGGCTCTCAGTGGTAGAACAGGCGGAGTGGGCGGTCTGCGCGTCCGACTCCTCCTGAGATTCTGATTCGGCTGGAGAGCTATATCCAAGCTAAGACAGGGCAAGCCATGTGCATGCGAAAACGTGCTCCTTGCGGCAGGTCTGATGCTGAGACTGCGCCTTCTTGAAAACACTGGTCTTGACACTGAGCTTTCCATCTGGGCCCTTGTCCTTTGCCAAAGCCTCGTCACACCTCCGGCTGCTCTGCACATATCGACCCCACTTAATCACCCGTACAATAGTAAACAGAGGTGAAGCAGGTCTGGTACACGAGGTCTGCGTCTGGGGCGCTGGAAGGCAAACCCCACGTTTACCCGCAAGAATTATTTACCAAAAACGGTATTGTATATGCTACCTCTATGACTGAGCGGTGCGAGCCACCCTCCACATATTTAACGTCTGTTTCGCACCGTACATCTCTTTCATCTGAGGGGAGCGCAGCAGCCAAATGGGTTCGTGCTTTATACGGGTCTGGAAATGGCCGTGTCGGTCCAAAGATGCCTGCGCAAGCAAAAATATCGACCGCGTCCTGTCGCGCCTCAAACTCTTCGTAAAAGGCGGCGTGCGCGTTATTTCTCGTGAACTGGGCAGCCTCCTCGCCTCTGCCCCTGTAGGGAGGCGCTTCCTCCCCTCCCCTGTCATCCCCGTACTCATATGTACTCACCGTAAGAGGCTCCGTATTCCGTTTTGGGGGCCCACACCGAGACTCATTTGGAGGCTTATGATACAGATCCTGGCGCATAGCCCCCAGTATCTAGACCTGGACATACCAGGACTTACAAGGACGCGGCCTAAAACCTAAAACGCAGAGAAGTGTGCAGTACATGTCATGTCACATCAGAGGAGGCCACTGCGTTTGCGCTTGCACTCTGCTTCACACCTTGCCTGGTATATCCGGAAGGGTAATGTCCGTCGAGCTCCTTCTGCAGCTCCAGCATGGCATGGCGCATCGTAGGCTTCATCTCATCCTCCATTACAGTGTTCAAGGATCCAGCCAGGGCAGCAACGTCAGGTCCTGCAAAAGAGCACGAAAGACGCTTGGCTCAAAAAACGGCAGAGAAGACCCCCCGTCCTGCACTGTTTAGCAGCTGCTGCACAGAATTCTCCAGCATCGCCATGTTCTTGCGATCCGGAGACTGCTTCATCCTCAAACGCGCGACACGAAGGTCTTGACATCAAGCC